AACAGACCAAACTAAATGTGAAGTTTGGATTGTTAGCAGTATCAAAAAACAGACCAAACCAAATGTGGAGTTGGAATGTTAGTAATACCAGAAAGCAGACTAAAGTAAATGTGAGGGTTTGTTTGTCAGCAATAGCATAAAAAGAGATGAAACTAAATGTAATTGTTTGTTTGTTGGCAATACCAAAAAAAAGAGACCAATCTAAGTGTGAGAGTTGGATTGTTAGTGATACCAGAAAGCAGACTAAACTAAATGTGAGGGATTGTTTGTCAGCAATAGCATAAAAACTAAAATTGAGTGTCTGTTTGTTGGCAATACCAGAAAACAGACCAAACTAAATGTAGGGGTTGGTTTATTAGAAATACGAAAAAAAAAAATACACAGATCAAGTTAAATGTGAGGGATTGTCAGCAATATCAGAAAACAGAACAAATTAAATGTGGGAGTTGGATTCTAAGGAATACTAGAAAATAGACTAATGTAAATGTGAGGACTGGTTTTTAGCAATACTAGAAAAGAGACCAAACTAATTGTGAGGGTTTAATTGTTAGCAATACAAAAAAAACAAACACCAAAGTAGATGTGAGGGTTGGATTCTTAGCTATACCAAAAAACAGACCAAACTAAATGTAGGGGTTGGTTTATTAGAAATACAAAAAAAATAAAAAATACACAGATCAAATTAAATGTGAGGGATTGTCAGCAATATCAGAAAACAGACCAAACTAAATGTGGGAGTTGGATTCTTAGGAATACTAGAAAACAGACTAAAGTAAATGTGAGGACTGGTTTGTTAGCAATACTGGAAAAGAGACCAAACTAATTGTGAAGGTTTAATTGCTAGCAATACAAAAAAAAACAAAAAAACACCAAAGTAGATGTGAGGGTTGGATTCTTAGCTATACCAAAAAACAGACCAAACTAAGTGTGAAGGTTGGATTGTTAGCAGTACGAGAAAACAGACCAAACTAAATGTGAGGACTGGTTTGTTAGCAATACTAGAAAAGAGACCAAACTAATTGTGAGGGTTTAATTGCTAGCAATACAAAAAAAACGCCAAAGTAAATGTGAGGGTTGGATTCTTAGCTGTACTAAAAAACAGACCAAACTAAGCGTGGGAGTTGGATTGTTAGCAATATCAAAAAACAGACCAAACTAAATGTGAAGGTTGGATTGTTAGCAATATGAGAAAACAGACTAAACTAAATGTGAGGGTTTGTTTGTCAGCAATACCATAAAACAGACCAAACAAAATGTGGGGGTTGGTATGCTAGCAATACCAAAAAACACAGACCAAATTAAAAAACAAAACACTGTTGGTAAGCTGCATTGTTAGCAATATTACAAAACTGAGAAATAGCCAAGTGATTTGTTGTAAAAGAACCATATAAGCATATGAATATTGAGCAATGAGTTTATTCTGATAATTAGACATCAATTACATTTACATGAGTTATAAAAGATCCCAGAATAACAACAATAAAGTTCCTTTTTATGAAAACACAACATAAATAACAATTACATATGGTTTTGTTCACAGCTCTAGAAATTTACAAATAAAAATAACATTTATGATAAAATGTAAATGTACACATTGATTAGAAAGTTCTTATTAGTAATTAAAAAGAGTATTTATATCATTTAATATATATACTTCACAAGCAGACTCATAAACTGCACATACTGTATTATACATTCATGTACTGTTTGTGTGTATTAATGCAAAGCCACACAATGAACTTTTTGTGGTTTGTTCATCATATGGAATTTAACCACAGATTTTAGCATTGTGAGTCCATAACAAAAGTTGTGCACTGAAAATAACATTGGAAAATGTAAATTATGGCTTCACCACCAAGAATGTAACAATTGTACAGTTTTGCTGATTCTACATACATAAATCATACCAAATCAAAAAAAGCTTGCTTGCAGAAAAAGGAAAAGTTTTTAATTCTGTATGCATTACTAAAGATGGTTTTCTTGTTTAAAATGCAAAGAAAATAATTTTGTTTAAAATAACATTTATAATGTTAAATGAGATTAACTGTTAGCTTCTTTCAGACGTGTACATGTTATTATGACACAAACTTCTTGGATTAATGCAGAAGGTATGGTGTTGATGAAGAGAAATTTAAACAACAGCATACACAGAAAATGCTGAAATGTCATGCTTATTTCAGGTGTTCCTAGGAAATGCTGACATGTCATTTTTATTTCAGGTGTTCTCAGAAAATTCTGAAATGTCATTCTTATTTCAAGTGTTATTCATTTAACAACACAACATACATAAGCACAGTTGCTCAGTATCGTAAGTGTTAAGGAACACAAATCATAATCTAATGGAGGGTAATGTAATACTTTCAGTATGATTTAGTCTGTGTTTCAACAACATGGTAGAGTGGATTTAAAAATTACAGTACTTTCAATGCATATAAAGAAATGCTTACTTGACATTCTTCATATGCACAGAGATAGCTGAATTAAAACAATTACCACAGTCTTCGTAAAACTAAACATTATTATTGCTGAAAAAGTATAATTTTAAAAAAACTAATACATGAATACTTTAGCTGACTTTATTTATTATGTTATTTTATTTGTGATAAACTTGGAAATACTTTAATGGCCTGAATCTGGATTTTGAATCCCCCCCCTGATAGCTCAAACCAATGCCATAAAGAACAATTTTGTACAGAAGTTTACATGAAAAACACAGATCTTCAATGCCATCTTATCTTGCTAATGACTAGTTATCTGACTGAAAGATTAAAAAGACCCCTTTGAATAAATCTTTAATGGATGACAACAAAAAACAATGGCCATATTGTATAAATATGGTAGGTTAAAGTGTGACAAATAATATATTTGATTGTTATTTTTCCAAAAGGTCTATTAAGACCACCCAACGAACACTTTTCAATATCAAAAACTGAAAAAAATATCAGATACAAAAGAATACTACGGAATGTGGATAGGAATAAGCCATCATGTACAAACACAAAGATATATAATGAACAAAAAAAAGAAGACTTGTAGGAAATGCTGATCAATTTCAGTAAATTACCAAAGCATTGAAACTCAAGATATTTAAATAACCCATATTTGAAATAAACAAGTTCTATTTGAGGGGAACAGACAAACTGTCATAGAAAAGTTTAAAGCTAACAGTAGAGAAAAACTTTTACAAGAAAAAATTCATCACAACAAATTCTTAATGTTTTGTTTTTCCTTGTGAAATCCAAAGATGTGATAGTGATTAATAAGCAGAATGTAAAATTAAAGAAACTCAACTGCTGAAACCATGCATTCTAGTCATCATAAATAAGATACTTTAAACAGCATATTTAATTAAGTGTTTCATTTCTAGGTATGTATTTGTAGTTCTGATTTATTGTTGGTAGCTGGCTTGGTGTCAATTGTTTTTTGTTTTTTTTTGATAAACACTAAAGAAACAGTCACAGTAAACAAACCAAGGAACATAACTATAGGTACAAAAAAAGTAGTAGTCAAAGTAAACAAACCAAGGAACATAATTATAGGTATGAAAAACAGTAGCAGTCACAGTAAACAAACCAAGGAACATAAATATAGGTACAGAAAAGTAGTAGTCAAAGTAAACAAACCAAGGAACATAAATATAGGTACAAAAAAACAAGAAATAGTTACAGTAAACAAACTACAGGATATAGATTTAGGTGCAAAAAAATAGTCACAGTAAACAAATGAACAGAAATTTGATGCAAAGAAAAAAAATTATAGAAATTAGTCCAAGAGATACAAATGTATTTATAAAGGTTTAGTTTGATTTGTTTTGAATTTCGTGCAAAGTACACGAGGGCTATCTGCACTAGCCATCCCTAATTTAGCAGTGTAAGACTAGAGGGAAGGCAGCTAGTCATCATCACCCACCGCCAACTCTTGAGCTACTCTTTTACCAATGAATAGTGGAATTGACCATCACATTATAGCACTCCCAATGGCTGAAAGGGTGAGCATGTTTGGTAGGACGGGGATTTGAACCTGCATAGTGCGAGTAGAGCTCCCTAACCACCTGGCCATGCCGGGCCGTATAAAGAAGGAATTTACAGTTTACAAACCACGGGATATAAATGTATTTATAATAAAGGAATTTACAGTTTTACAAACCACGGGATATAAATGTATTTATAATAAAGGAATTTACAGTTTTACAAACCAAGGGATACAAACGTATTTATAAAGAAGGAATTTACAGTTTACAAACCAAGGGATACAAACGTATTTATAAAAAAGGAATTTACAGTTTCACAAACCAAGGGATACAAACGTATTTATAAAGAAGGAATTTACAGTTTACAAACCAAGGGATATAAATGTAGTTACAAAGAAGGTAATGACAAACAATCCAAACAATAAAAGTTTTTTACAAGGGAAAACATCCTTACAAACTAACCAAGAGTTACAAAAGTAAACAGATTAGGTGATTCAATTTCAGATACACATTGTACAAGTTACACATATTCTTTATAAAAAGATTATCATAAACATTTATAAAGGTTGGAACTTGATGAATAAGGCTAAAGTATCAATAAAATTGATATACATAATCTGACTACTTAACAGGTTTCACATCTCTCTGAAAGTAAACCTGAAATTTAGTTTACAGATATCTGTAACTGTCTAGTTCACTCACAGTTTTTTCACTACGAAGCTCTCATTACATCTTGAAGTAGTGATTGTAATGAATTTTTCTGTTACATTTCTTGTCCAAAAAGGTTAATATAGAAGGAAATTAATGTTGCTTTGTTGTTTGTATACAAATTTACAATGTCGAAACTCACTACAGATGTAAATTTGGGAAAATAAAATAACTATTGTTTCCAATATGAGTGAAGAGTTACTATTTAACTACCGAGTATAACTTAAGTAGTAATTGTGATTATATCATAATTATATTAAATCTGCATGTTTATAGTTACTAGTTAACTTGAGAATACATGTAAGACAAACTTCTCAGCAAATAGGATAAAAATTCTTTGTTACAAAAAAAATTTTGGTTCTACATACACTAAGTTATTCACTTTTAATTTAGTTTTGAAAACAACAACAAAAAAGCACATAATATAACATTAATATAATTTGGTTATAACAATATTTGTTACTAATGGCCACAGTAATGGTGTTGCTTTTGCATCACTGAGTATAATTTAGTTTTATAATAATCCATCAATTATCTAACATTAAAAATCTATATAACTTCCTGGCTTATAATTTATCTTTTTATTTTAATTCCAGATACTTATTTTCACTTAACCTACTTCCTGTTTATAAAAACTTATGATCACACATCAAAACACCAATAAATTCCTCATAGCAAGTAATATAATAATCTAAAAATGGAAAAGCAATAGATGGATATTATACATAACATCAGGAGTCACAATATGAACTCCACTGATCAGAACAAGATGTGTGTAAAGCCAAGAAACTTTGTTCTGTGTTAAATACGTTTATGTGGTCTGAATAAACTATTGAATACAGATTGATTCAAATCTTCGGTTTATGAATGATAAAATGAAAGTACTAGAGCTTTTTACCTCGTTAAAAGTTTTGTTTATCTCAAGTTTATGGCCCCAAAACAGGTGAATTTCACCATGATGAAAGAGCCTAGTACTTTCACTTAATGTGTTCAAACTGTTACTTTTAAGAAAAGTGCGAGAAAAGGCAGTTGCATCTTTGTAAATACTGTTATGGACAAAAGCTACAGATATAAGGACCACTTGAAAGTTTACATAACAATCAGCCCATCTGTTCTTCACAAGTTTGTTCATGTACATATGAATATCTAAGTGAGCTCTAAGCCTTGAAATACAAGTTCTACAGATAAGTCCAATATACTTCAATATAAACAATTATTAAAGTAAAAGACAAAGTCTTAGGTCCAAATTGAAGGACTCACAAGTACTATAAATGAATAGTCAGCAATATGCTGAAAAACACTTAGAATGTCAAATTATTCTTTACAGAACAAACATGAAACACGAATTGAAAAATATCTAGTATAAATCTCAATTCACTATTGGAAAACTTCTACTAATGCTTGTTGAATTTAGTCAGCTTATTAGAGTTTTGTACTAAATGATCATCTAAATTTGGAAGTCACTGTATATAGCATTATGTGATAGCAAACTATTGTTATTGTTGAATATATGTTTCCTACAAAAGATGCCTTTTATTTGTTATATCTATTCTTTTAGTGAAAATATTATCAAAGGAAAAAAATCTCAATTGCAAAAATGTAAGGATGATTCAAAACAGTAGTTATATAAAAGTGGCACTTATATTAAACACTTAGATTAAAAACAATCACAACAGACATTTAAGAACACTGTGAATTTAGGGAAAACATACTTTGTAACACTACATGCCATTAACAATAGTGGGACTTTAGAGTTAACATACTCCGCATCACTACAAGCCATTAACAATAGTGGGACTTTAGGGTTAACATACTTCGCAACACTACCAGCTATTAACAATAGTGGGACTTTAGGGTTAACATACTTCATAACATTACAAGCCATTAACAATAGTGGGATTTTAGGGTTAAAGTACTCCATAACACTACAAGCCATTAACAATAGTAGGACTTTAAGGTTAAAATACTTCATAAAATTACATGCTGTTACAAACAGTGAGACATCATAATTACACTTCATTTACTTTATCTGTTTTACACCATAACATTTGTTGTTCATGTAACTTATAACAGACAATTACCATATCTGTCCTATTCCACCCAGCTTGGTGAGGTCTGTTATTGGCCTTGTTGCCACTGGATATGGCAGATATAATGTGGTTGACATAGTATTAAATATTCTTCTTTGCTTTCCCTCACAAGTTCTTACAATATTTCACAATATTATATGCATGAAAATTACATTTAACAAAGACAAAGTATTCGTGAATAAACATCAATCCATATATATATATGTCAACAGGATTTTAATATGGCACAGGTAACAGCAAACTTGGGAGTAGTTTTAAAGCTTGTTTGAGAAAAAGACTTATTATGACACATTTTGTGAAATGACTATGTAGTCATGTATACCTGTCTCCATACTCATTTTTTTTTTTTTTATCGACAGTCTAGGCCAGATGATGGAAATCGTGCTTTTAAAATACAAAAAATGTTTGGTGAAAAAAAAAATAGGCACAATTGGTGCAGAAGCTGCAATAAATATCCCTTTAAAAATGGGAAACAGAATGAAAAACAGATAAACTTAAAATTTAGTGAAATAGCTCCAGTCATATTCAGTGCTCCATGCACCAAGAAGGAAGAGGTCCAACTTATGTTGTACTTGAGCTTCCAGCTATGCTGCTGAATGTTGGAGGAGGCGAAGCTGAAGCTTGAGGTGGAAGTTTAGCTTTAATCCCTCGTTTCTTCATATATTCTATGAATTGGTCTGGAATTTCTGCAAGCACTTCTTTAGCTAATCTAGCCTGATTTGTAATCCAACTTGATCCAGATAGGAACTCCCTAAATGGTACAAACTAAAACAAAAGAACTCAAGTTTATTACATGTTATGTTATTATACATAAAGTATTACTGTTCCTCTTCAAAAGGGAGATAAGGTGGAGTTATTCATTGATTATTATTACTATATAAAACTACCTGATGAAAATTATTCACTTATTATCTAAGTTAATATATAAGTTACCTATGTAGTAATGGTAAACAATATGTTAAATAAAAGTTTTATTAAATCATCTGCTTGTAGATAGTTTATTAGTCAGGAAGCTTTGGGTTTGTTAAGCCTTCCATTACTCAGTGTTCAATTAAGTGTGACATTAACAATTCTATGTAATTAATATAAAAAAATGTAAAATAACCATTTGTCTAGAAATAGTGGACATGGTAAATGTGAAATGTGCAATTGGTGTCAGTTTTTCATACAAAATGAAAGGAGACATGAAATTTAAGTAAATCTTAACAGTTAGTAGCTTATTTAAGTATGACTGTGGCTACATAATTTGTTTGACTAAACTACAGTTAAAGCATACAAAATTACTGCTTGCGAGCAAGTACATTATCATAAGAGTACTTTATGTATCTAATTAAACATTAGTGATTACAGTGTTTTGTTAAAATGTATATAATAAATAAACTTAGGCTATAAGACAAAGAAGTAATTCACAACACAGTTCATAGTGAAACACTATTATATTCCCGATAACACTGTTGTCCATTGTCATTTAGTTAAAAGCTAAATCCTTGTCGTGTCTGCACAAGACATATAGGGCTAATTCTTTTGAACTCTGGTGTCATGTGGCACAGACAGATGAGACAACGAGTCCAAAGCACAAAGCCACTTAATCATGCTGTACCACACTGGCAATAAAACAAGTTAAATATATTAACAATTCCTTAAAACGAAAATTTTTTCTAGTGGTGACACAATATTTTTTGAGAGCAAACAATCATTACTTCTAGTTACCATAACAACAGGAATTAGTTCAGTACAAACTTTGAGTAGCGTGACCTTCTAACCGAACTTACATATTTTATTACTCTTAAGGTAACGTGACCTTCTAACCGATCTTACATATTTTATGACTCTTTAGGTAACGTGACCTTCTAACCGATCATACATATTTTATGGCTCTTCAGGTAACGTGACCTTCTAACCGATCTTACATATTTTATGACTCTTTAGGTAACGTGACTTTCTAACCGATTTTACATATTTTATGACTCTTCAGGTAACGTGACCTTTAAACCGATCCTACACATTTTATGACTCTTCAAGTAATGTGACTTCTAACTGAACCTACATATTTTATGACTCTTCACACAAGGCCGAAAAACTGCAGTATTAGTGATTTAAGCTTCGAAATCACACCATGTTCGTAGTACCAACCTTATATTAATGTGGTTTTCAAGACATATATATATAAAAATTAAAGCAAAAAAGCAATGTTTTCAAAAAAATCTAATCACTATAACCTGTTAATCCTTTAAGTTCTTTCTAATGAAGATAGTATTAGATTTACACTATATTTTCATTTATAAAGATTGTTCTTTCAACCTATACCATAACTTACAAGTTCAAAATTTATATAT